TATATGTAACTTTTGGTTTGCTTTTGTTCTATTCATTTTAAGACAGATGTTTCTAGAATATATGTGTGTGCTGATAGTGATAAAATAGTTGAATAGGAAGGACTTGTGATGTATGAGAAAGAATCTGTAAGTGATAAAGTAATGTTTTACAATACTCCTGAACTGCTGTGACCTCACTCCTCAGGCTCATAAATAGACCATGCTCCTGTCCATATTAGCAAAATCCTGGGTCAGCACAAATAGAGAAAGCTTGGCATAGCCCCAATCCTCATGACAACCATGAATCTTAATCTTCTCTCTCGTCTTTTACCTACTAATTTATTTTATATCCATTGCTGTTAATAAGTTATGAAATATATGTAATATCTCCTTCCCACAGTTCCCTTATGAAATGAAATGAATGTGTTTGAAAAGAAAATGGCCAAAATTATATAATGAGAATGAAGAAATAACAAATATTATTGATCCACATACATATAAAACAGATTATTAAAGTACTCAAAAGTTTATTTGACACTTAATGTTTTAAAGGATGGCTATTTGCTGAAGTATGGACTAGGGAGAACTGATGGTGAGATAAGAGATTTACAGCATGTGATAAACTAAGGGAGGGAGAGAATAAATGATCTCAACCAGAAGGAAAGGGTGGAGGGAGATGAAAAACATAGAAGGGAAAAGGATGGGAGGGCAGGAAGAGAATAAGTGGTATAGGAAGCAAGTCCCGGAGCTGCTGAGAAACCATAGGTACTTTCTGGCTCATGTAACACTAAGGCTACTCATTTTCTCCAAGTTATCTTAGTTCCCAGTTTATTTAACATCTATGCCAAATACAGTCATTGTGATCCTACTGTGTGTGATAGATACAAAAACAGAATTTATATTAGGTTAAAGTCAGGATTTTAATAGTGTGTTACAGAGATGTGCTGTGGAGAAGGCTGGAAGAAAATGTCCCTATTTGCACCAGGCTTGGAAGTGTTGGAACGAATATAAGGGAATAGGAAGAGGCTGGTTGTCCTTAAGGGCAAACAGGGGTTTAAAGGAAACAAGAAAGAATGACTTCAACAGGGAAATGACAAAGGATCAGTGCAGGGGAAATGATTCACCTTTGCTGGAACTTAAGACACATGAGAAAAAGTAGTTAAAGATGGAAATCACACAATATAAAACACTTGAAGGCCAGATGAGGGAAATGTACCCAGTTTGTGGCAGAATTAGTTCCTCCAAAGGGTTTTCTCAAGACATTGAAAAGAGATGTGTTTTAAGAATTCTATCATCATGTTGAACTTTGCTTTAAAAAAGACAGAACAATTACATATTTCCAAATTTTAGTAGCAATGAAAGGTACTCTGATCTTTTAGTGTCACAGACACTTCCTTCGATAGCAGATAAGTTGAACCACATGTACAATTTTCTAATCTCAAAAATAACAAAGCTAAATCATCACTTTAGAGGAAAATAACTGCATTGTCTTTCCTTCTCGTGTAGCAGAATACAAAGAAGCCACAAGTGCAACCTCTCTGGTCTTTCCAACCTAGAGCCAGAAAAAAATTCTCCTCAAATTTTAATGAGGCATTATTAAAATATAAGCAAGAAGCAAGAAGAGTAGTTGAACAGTTTTGTTCTCTTCTATGTCCCAAGAGAGTCCAAAACATTTTCTGTAAATTTTTGATAGGAACAATACTCTTCCTTTACATTTTAAATTGCTTCGTAAGCTCACTGTTTTATCTTTGGAAAGACTTTCACATTTTCACTCACCTTAGATGTCTAATTTCTACTCATACATTAGACTTTGCTTCTGTGAAACTAAATTTGAGCTTAAAGTAGAATATTTTTCCCTGCTGCATTAATTCTTTCTACTACACACTGCACAGTTCTAATCGTGTTGCTCTTCACGGTTTCTCCTGGGGGCAAAGTGAACTTCATAGAGCCAATTTACGGTCTCCATAGCAATTTTATGAGCCTGAAAGTATGGAGCCATCCCTGTATGATTTTCATGTACCTAGGAGAATCAGATTCAAATACAGTAAAATTAATCTTTGTATTATATTTCATGAAATGTTGATATTCCTGCTGGCATAGTAGCTCAGAATGCAAGGAAATAATTCATTTTAAAGTACCAAATATTGAAAATAAGAGTTGTATATTAGCCATGACAGGTTGAGCAAGATGTCCAGATATAACTAAGATCTTTATTTGAACTAAATCCTAATATAGAGTCCCATTTAACTGTGACCCCTAGCATTTTATGGCCAGTCTATAGTTTGAATGAAAAATTACCTCATTTGAACATAGTTTCAGGTAATGTTTTTCTTGACTTTTATACAATGAAATGTTTTACTGCTGCTGCTGGTAGATAGTTACAAATTTTCAAACCAATGTGCTCAGCACTTTTGGAGAAGCTAACTCACTTTTCATAGAGCTACAATCATATAAATTTATAATCAAGCATTAAATTCTTAGGAATATCTAGTCTATGATACTCACCTAACAGTAATTTATTTAATATTTTAGCTCTAATTCAATCATTCAAACATAACTGCTAAACAATGGTAATTGTTAAAATATTTTGTATTTGTTTTTGTTCTTTTCGGTACAGGGATTGAACTCAGGACCTTGCACTTGCGAGGAAGGCAGAGGAACCACTGAGATAAATCTCCAGCCCTTGTTAAAATATTTTAATAAGTTGGTAGAAATAGTCAAAATGAGTGTTACAATAGATTAAAAACTTTGTATATACAAGGTTTAATTAGTCATTAGTGTTTGATTAAACTTAACCAACATCATTGAAAAAATTAGTCATATTGCAATGAAACATTTCCTAAACATACTATATAAAAAAACAAATGTGGGACAAACTTGAAAATAACAAACTGCATACAATGAAACAAATATCTGTGCAGATAAAATGCAAGCAAGTTGCTTGATACTTTGAGTAATGGATCAATATTCAAATATCAATTAGAAATAAATATTACACCTCAGAAAAATATGGTTATTTAGCTACTGACTGACCACTGAATATAGAGCCATTTACTGAGGAATATCTGGCAAGGTTTTAGAAAATTAAAAATAATCCAACTCCAAAAAGTTTAATAGTAAAGCTTAAAAAGGATACCACTATTGAGATTTTTAAAATAATATATAGGAGTCATTTTAGAATATTTAGGAGTAAAATATCTAAAACAATAGCATATAAGAATAAAGGAAATGGAAGATTATATTGTTCAAATTTCTTACACTAGTATGTAACAACACACTATAATCTGACCATAAACATAAATTAAAGATGCATGTTAATCGCCTTTAAAACACTCACTGTAATAAAAACCAATAAGAAATAGCTAGTAATGAATACATTAAAAAATAAATAGAATCATGAAAATACTCAGTTAACATAAGGAAAAAGGAAAGTTGAAACAGAGTGTATGGAACATACACTAATAATAAGCTGGTAGATTTGAACCAAACTATATTGATAATTACATTAAATGTAAATGGTCAAAACGTAGAATAAAATATGAAATTGTTGATTAGAATATAAAAAGTTAAAAATAAGCAGATGTTGGTTAAAGGGAAAAGCATTTAAATATAAGAACACAACTAAGAGATAAATATAAGAATGTAATAGAATTAATATAAGATACATTAAAAGGAACTATTACCAGACCTAAAGGACATTTCATAAATATGAAGAAATTAATTCCTTAAAAAGCATATGAAAATCATAAATTTATATGTACTAAAAAATAGAGCTTCAATCAGGCATAATGGCACAGGCCTATAATCCCACTCTAGGAGACTAAAAATTTTCACCTCAGCCTGGGCAATTTAATAATTTAGGAAGACTTCAACTCAAAATTAAAAGGGAAGGGAATGTGGCTTAGTGCGAAAGCTGGAAAAAAGAAAGAAAACAGAATTTAAGTGAAAAACAAAAACAAACAAAACTGACAGAGTTGACAGAGAAAACAGACAAGTGAACAATTTTAGTTGAAGATTTTAACGTCTTCCTCAATAACTGATATAAAAAGCAAGCAAATAATCAGTAAGCATATAAAAGATCTGAATAATCCTATCAACCACTTTGATATAATTTATATTTATGCATAACATCACTCCCCAAATAGCAGCATACACTGTTTTTAGATTCACTTAAAAATATTCTTCAAGACAAAATATATACTGAGTCAGTCTCAGTAATTTAAGAGAACTGAAAACAGTCTGTTCACTAATTACAATGCAGTTAAAGTAGAAATCAATGTCAGACATTGATAAAATCTCCAAACATACTGAAAATTTCAAATGTATGTGAAACAAAGAAGGAATCTAAAGGAATCGGGAAATATATTGAACTGAAAGAAATTTAAACTACAATGCATTGAAATTTGCTGAATAAAACTAAAGCAAGACTTTCAGAAAAAAATCTCAGCAATAAATATTTACAATAAAATAAGAAAGATTTTTAAACTGATGTCCTTAGCTTCTACCCTAAAGAACTAGGACAAGAAGAGCATGTTATGCCCCAAGTAAATATTCAAGAAAGGAAATATCAAATATTGAGACAAAAATCAAAGAAATTAAAAACAAAATATGAACAAGAAAAATCAGTGAAACTGAAAGGAGATTCTTCAAGGGGGAAAAATTAAAGTTGATTAAACTAAAGAAAGAAAAATATCTTTAAAAACTAGCGATTTAAAAGTCTACTCAAATATCACAAATGAAGGAAGGAACGTCGCTTCTAATCATATAGACATTAAAAATATAATAAATATCATTAAAAACTTTATTCAAATAATTTTTTTAAATTTAAATGCAATGAAGAAATGCCCTGAAAGACACAAGACATTATTGCTTTCCAGTTAAGATTAAACTGATAACCTGAACAACTCTATGTTTATTGCTTTAAATTAATTTATTGTTAAATACACAAAGTCTTCGCCCTAAAAAACAAAACCAAAGCTCCAGGCCCGCCAGAAAAGAGTCCCATTTCAGGTCAAACTTACCTAGGAACTAGAAAAAAAGAAAACGCTTCCTAGTTCATTTTACAAGGACAAAATTACCCTCAGATCAAATCCAGAATAAAAACTAAACTACAAACCACAGAGTACTCCTCATAATAAAAATGGTCAAGCGGGGCATCATAATGCACACCTGTGATCTCAGCAAGGGGTCGGGGGGAAACACACAACACACATGAGGCATGAGTATCGCTGTCAGTTCGAGGCTAGCTTGGGCTACATAGTGAGTTCAAAGCCAGCCTGAATTGCATAGTGAGACCCTGTCTATAATAATAATAATAATAACAATGATAATAATAATAATAATGATAATCACAAAAAACTTAACAAACTTTTAGCAAAAGAAATTCCGAAATACATTTTTTCATAAAGCAATATATCATACTGATTAGGATCTATCAAAACTTAAAGTTGGTTCAACATTTGAAAATCAATATAATTGAGCAAATTATATTAATTTTTTAAAATTATTTGCTTGTATTAATAGAAGAAAGATGTATAAAATTCTACACTTAAATAGTGAACAATAAGGAAATCATTTTTTCCTTAACAAGTACCATTAAAATATAATCAAGATATTTAAAATATTTTATGCAATAAAATACTTAAAGACTAGGCACAAAAAAAATAAATGCTCAAAAAAAAAAGTTCTCAATGAATAGATATACTACACTAATGATTTGAAAGACTCAATCTGATTAAAATAATAATTCTCACCCAAAGTAGCATACAGATTAAATGAACACCCAAGAAAAATTGCAACTTAGATTTTTGATAGAAATAAACAAATTTATTCTAAATTGTGCATGCATTTAAATGAACTGGAGTAAAAAAACAACTTTGGAAAAGAAGCTTCTGCAAGGTTGAAGCATGTATAGTAGCTTATTTCAAGACTTTCACTAATATTACAGCAATCAAGAAAGTGTGCTAAGGTGTAGAGATCAATAGAGTAGAATAAAGACCCTAAAAATAATACATCCAGACATACATTTTTTTAAATTAAATTCTTTTATTGGTACATTGTAGGTATACAACACAATTACATTTCTCATTGGGAATTGTACCTTTATATAATGCATCTT